CCCCCCCCCGCCTTCCCACCACGGCCGCTCGGGAAGATGCTCGTGCCCCATCCCCCAGGGTAAGATCCCCCAACGAGGACGGGCACCCATGCGGGGGAGGTTCGTTGGTACATGACACCACGTGAACACCGCGTGCGCGCGCAGCCCCCACGCGTTGCAGTCTTTCCCCCGGGGCCGGAGTGCTCCCGGGGCCCACCCGGCGCGGCAAAACCTTGGAATCCTTCCCGGGCGCCGCCCCGCCCGGCCCCCCCTTTCCCCCCCCCCCCGGTCCCAACCCCCGTCCCCCCCCCCCCCCCGCCCCCGGTTATCTCGCAGGGCCTGCATCCCTCTGGCTCTGCCCTTCTGGCGTGCCTCAACATGGGCACACACCAGCATGCGGAGTGGGTTCCCCGGTATTGTGTGCCATATTGTCCAACCAGGCGCGCACCGTGGCCTGGTCAGTGCCCCGTTTCCCCCCCTTCCCCTTGCCCTTGAAGTCTGGGACCCTTTATCCCCCGGCGCGGTGAGTTGGGCCAAAGACACAGATGGAAAAGGATCCCTCCTCCTTCTCTCGAACCCCGCCCTTTCTCTCTCTCTCTCCCTCCCTCCGCTCTCCTCCCCTCCCTCCCCCTCCCTTGCTCCCTCCGCTCTCCGCAGATCCCGGCTTTTTCCCGCTCTTCCCTCACATCACAACCATGGAGCACTTTGACCGCGAGCAGGCCCGTAAGTCCGTCCGCGCGCTGATCGCCTACACCGAGAAGCAAGCTGAGGCCTCCAGCGCCGTCCCAGTTGAGACCGACAAGAAGGGCAAGAAGGGCAAGGCCACCGCCGAGGCGGTGCCGGCCATCAAGCCGCTCCCCACCAACAACCTGATCGACGACAGCCTGCCCATCCAGCTGATTGTCTCGGTGAAGAACATCCCCGCTCGTGCGGACAACCGCCCCATGACCATGTGCGCCTTCGGCGGCTCCTGCGCTCTCCCTCTTGCCTGCTTCTTCCTGCGACTTTCTGCCCTTCCCCCCCTGGACCCCCTCGTCCCCCCGCTTCCCCTGTCCACCGGCCCTCGCTCTTGCTAACCGTCCTCCCCTGTCTCTCTCTCTCTCTCTCCCCTCTCCCCCCCCCCCTCCCCCCGGCGCTGGCCAGCCCCCTCAAGCACTCGATCTACAAGAAGGCCGAGGTCTGCCTCATCACCAAGGACCCCCGCCAGGAGTACAAGGACCTGCTGGTGACCGAGAAGGTCAAGGGCATCACTCGCGTCATGGACGTGTCCCAGATCAACAAGGAGTTCCGCCCGTATGAGGCCAAGCGCAACCTGGCCGCCGCCTATGACCTGTTTCTCGTGGACCTGCGTGTGATTCGCATGATGCCCAAGGCCCTGGGCTCCCCCTTCTACTCGAAGAAGAAGTGCGTCGACGTCGCTTTGTGTGCACTGCTCCCCGGCTCCCTGCCGCATCTTTCTCTCTCGCGTGTCCTTTTCCGTCGCATCTCCTCCTTTTTGGGTCTTTTTTCTCCCCCTGCCATGGGTCTGCACAGGCCTTCCGGCCATGTACCTGCCAATGCCCCGGTCGCCCGCTCTCGCCGGGTCTCCTGCATGCCTGTACTCACTCCTCTGCTGGCCTTCCTCCCCCTCCCCCTCCCCCCCTCCTCTCCCGCCACCATTGTCATCGTGCTGCTCCTTGCTATGGCACCGGCATCTCCGCCCCACAGGCAGCCCATCCCCATTTCTCTCACCACCGAGGATCTGGCCGCACGTGTGGAGGAGCTCCTCTCCTGCACCTACATGTACCACGGCCAGGGCGCCTCCAGCAGCGTGGTCGTCGCCAGCACCAAGATGTCCGAGAACCAGATCTACGAGAATGTTGTCCATGCCATCCTCGCTGTGGCTGGCCAGATCCCCCGTGGTTGGGCCAACATCCAGAGCATCCACGTGAAGACCACTCACTCGGTGTCGATCCCGATCTTTGTGGCCAAGCCCGACCTTGTCCGCAAGATTGGCAACTAATGTGGCTGTCCGCTTCTCCCTTCTCCCCCCCCCCC